ATCACCATAATCCCCCATCTCCTGAAAAGGACAAAAGCTGATCCAACAGCTATAAATACTCAACTCCCAAACAAACTGCACCAGGGTAGAGTGCTACTCCTGTCCTCTGAAGATGCCAGCCAGAGAGAGTGGTGAAACGTTAGGAAGAACAACCTTCAGAACGCAGCCAAAGAAAAACCCACAAAAACCTGAAAAACCCACAACAACCATTAGATCCTGGCCATGAAAGCCTTTGCAAATACAAGATCAGCTAAGTTGGATCATTTCTCACTTGGATAAGTCCTCCGCTACTTATATCCAATTCAGTAACAAGAAAGTGATGCTTTATACAGGCATATTATTCTTACCAAAGGTGGTTTCCTCCTTCCCTATGTCACTACCTTTGATACTTGTGATGTTTTATTCATCACCTCAGACTGACCTGGAAAAGAAATTGCATACATTAGGTGTCAAAAGAACATTGCTTTTTTCCCCTAGATAGAACTAAAAACTTCTGAAAAAAACTCTTTGTTACCAAGGTCCTCATAAAGGGTCTCCAGATTATCTCAACATTTCTCCAAATGGGTCGTGGAGATACTTAGATTGACTTATGGTATGTGCTAGTGAACAAACCCTTGCCAATGAATATAAACTGTTATTCCACAAGAGTTGTATCCTCTTCAGCAGCATTTATAAAAGGTGTTTACATCCAAGATATCTGTAGGGCATTGAGACCACAACAAAGAAGGATAGGTTACTCACCTGTAACTGGTTCTTTTAGTGGTCATCTATATATGCACACAACCCATCCACATTCATTATATTTGCCTAGCGGTGGGCAGTTCAGGACTGAGAAGAGGGGATGGAATATGTGGAGGGTAGCCTAAGAAAAGGAATCTTGAGGCTGAAAGCTCTGGAAATTTCTGTGATGGTGTTTGTGCACCATATAGATGACCATTCAAAGAACCCAAGTTACAGGTGAGTAATTTATCCTACCCTAGCATGTTCCAAAACTGGTAATTATGCCTGGTTTAGATGAAATGGGAAATAATAGGTGACTAAAGACTTCCTGTTTGAATTGGTGCTCATGTGAAGGGAGGAGTGAAGAGGCTTCACAAGTGGGGAGAAGGAGCATGTATATGGTTTAATAAACTATGATAATTTCATTTGGACCAGCAGTTAGTGAATTAACTGTAATGTATACAGGATTTATGTAAACGTATTTCAAAAGTCAAGCTTTTTTCCTCTAGAAGTTTTTAAGTGGGTATTATATTTGTTATGATTTGTTCTTGATGGATATTTCTACAAACTCTTGTGTCTAAATCCAGTATGTAACCTTATGCAATAAACTTATTTTCCAAATGGAAATAGGTTTATGTGATGTCATTAAGGATTTGCAATCAGAATTTTATAAGTAATGTTTTCACAATTTACAGCTAGAAAGAAAACCAACAATACAGTTAGTCACAGTGTCATCATTCCTAAATGATCAAAGTGAGAATGCATCAGCATGAATTGTTAAGGGCTGTACATTATTAATCTTAACATCTGCTGCTTTTCTCTTTGCTTCAGGGAGGAATAAAGAAGCTCTCATCAGCACATGCTTTGTTTTAAGCATTTAAAAGTATTTTTTTCTATTATTAATATTATTGTTTCTGCTTGGTTGGCAGCCCCAGAAGTGATAAGTGCGCACGACTATAGCCAACAGTGTGATGTTTGGAGCATTGGTGTCATTATGTATATGCTGTAAGTAGCTTGTAACATTTATATAAAATGAAAATGCCCCTCAAAAAGAAGGTAACTTCATTTTAAAGTATTTTTTATAAATTCAAAGTTCTTGTTTGGCTCACCTACATAGCAGCGGGCAATTTTAATTGTCTTTCTCAGTTCTTTAACACAATGATTAATCTGTTCAAAACAATTGAACTCTAGAAACATTCAAGTTGAGTGTTTTCAGGATTACAGCTTTTAAATGTATATGGGTCTAAATGGGCCAAGAATCAGATAAGATTTTTGACAACCTTAAGATAAATTTTTTTTTCGTGGAAGTATATTTTATTTTTCTGATCAGGTAAGCTTAGGTTTGACAGCAGGAGAAACTGTTCGCTCATGGCATTTGCTCATATTGTTTGTTCTGCTAATTGTACTGTTATTAATGTAATAGTTATTACTGTACTTTGTACACGTGTATGTTTGGTTGCATCTAAATTTACTTAACAAAAACCAAATAGACTTAAACAGGCTGGTTATTTCAAATTTGGCAGAGAACCGAAACAAGAGAAGAGCAAATTGCAGTACTGATAATGAACTATTAATATCCAACATTACAATAAAGCTGGAAAAGATTGTGAATTGAAACTAGAGATATCATTGGGAAGAATGCAAAAATACAATTCTTGTAGTAAAAAGAAGATAAAAACCTAGATAGATGACAGGAGAAACACTTAAAATTGTGAAGGACAGTTGAGAAGCAAAAAGATGACAGAAATGGAGTCAGAATTCTAAATGCAGTTTTTCAGCAATTGTCACGTAGAGCAAAGAGAAATATTACAGCAACCAGTATAAAGAAATAGAGGAGAACAACAATAGGGTAAAAACAAAGTATCTCTTCCAGAAGATCCAAGAAATTAAAGGGAAATTAAGCCAGAATGCTGAATGATCAAATGGGAAGCACACTATCTGACCAGGAGAAAATAAAGAGAAGACCCATAGAGAAGAGATAAAAAGATGACAGACTCCCTTTGAAGAGGAAGCCTGTGATGAAGAACATCTGGTTCTAGAAAGCGAAGTGAAAGCTGCTCTGAAAGCACTGGTTAGAAATAAATCACTAACAGTAGATGGAATATCTATAGAACTCAGGCCACAGAGACAAATCTGTCAAAATGCTAATGAGTATGTGTCAATAAATATGGAACACAAAACAGTGCCCCATGGACTGGAAACATTTGATATACATTCACTCCCTAAGAAAGGAGATGCAAGAAAACACAAGTCATGGGTCAGGGCGTGGACTCACCTCCCTCTATTACACAAGAATTGAAGGTTGTTCATGACTTTGTGTACCTTGGCTCAACGATCTCTGACACTCTCTCCCTAGAGGTTGAGCTGGATAAACACATTGGAAAAGCAGCTACCATATTCTCTAGACTCACAAAGAGAGTATGGCTTAATAAAAAGCTGACAACATATACCAAGATCCAGGTCTATAGAGCCTGTGACCTGAGCACACTCCTGTAATGGCAGTGAGTGCCGGATCCTTTGTGCATGACAGGAGAGGAAGCTGAGCACCTTCCATATGCGTTGCCTCTGACACATTTTTGGTATCACCTGGCAGGACAAAGTTCCAGTAGAGTAGTCCTAGAACAAGCTGGAATTTTTAGCATGTATACATTACTGAAATAACACCGTCTACATTAGCTTCGACATGTTGTGAGAATGGCTGATGGTCAGATTCCAAAAGATCTCCTGTATGGAGAATTAGTGCAGGGAAATTGCCCCAGAGGGAGACCACAGCTGTGATACAAGGATATCTGCAAGCGTGATCTGAAGGCCTTAGGAATGGACCTCAACAGATAGGAAACCCTGACATTTAAGCTTTCAGCCTGAAGGCAGGCGTTGCATCATGGCCTTTCCCAATTTGAATATGTACAGAGAGAATGGTTTCCTGTAGGCAAAGGTATCAGACAAGGGTGCATTTTGTCCTCTTACCTGTACACTCTCTATGCAGAACACATCACATGGAAAGCTGGAATAGATTCAAATGAAAGAGGAGTGAACGTTGGTGGGAAAAATACCAATAACTTAAGATATCCAGATAACACCATCTTACTAGCAGAAAGGCAATGATTTGAAATGATTTTAGTGAAAGTGAAAGAAAGTGCCAAAGCAGGACTGCAGTTGAATGTTAAGAAAACAAAATTAAAAATGTATGAAAAATGATAAAAGCAAAAGGTTACCTGATGGGTGACAACCTGCCTTTTCCTTTGTTGTGTTCAACTTACTGCATTCTGCTTGCTTGAAGCTGGGGGAAGAATATCAGAGTCTGTGCCTCTTGAACTTACTAGAGCTGAGCATAGCTGTTAAGGATAGAACATTTGATTGATTGATTGATTGATTGATTGATTGAATGAATGAATGATTTATTTAACTTATTTATATACCACCCATCTAGTGGTGAATCATTACTCTGGGTGGTTTACAATGCATAAAAACACCCAAACCTACCTCACTCTAACCAAAAATATAAACAATCCAAATAAACACCCCCGGTGGTGTAGTACAGGTATTAACACACACACCCCTGGTGGTGTAGTACAGATATTAACATATCTGACTAATGTTAAGAGCCTTGCTAAGGAGCCAGCTTCTTCACCTATTGTTACTCAACAGCTATTTTACAAGGTTGTAGCAAAGGAAAATACATGAAGAATGGCCACTACAGCAATTTTTGATTCCTCTTTCCTTGGAATTTGTTTCCATTGCAGCTGCTCATGGTAAGAATATCACACTTCGAGCAGCACTGCAATCATTACACTCTTACTATATCTACATTACACTTTGTTGCTGTAAGAACTACATAATAGACATGGTGTCCAAGTTTCTTGCTTTACTTTCTCTTGCCATCCCTTTTTCCACTTGTGTCATATCTTTCAGATAGCAAGTTGAAAGGCAGAGATGACTTTGTTTATATTGATTGGTAAATCATTTCTCCTGAAAAGTGGGGTGTAAATGCTTTAAATAAACAAAACATTTTTCGAGATAGGATTTTGTTTGTTTGTTTGTTTGTTTGTTTATTTAACTTATATGCTGCTCACTCTACCCAAAGGTCTCTGGGCGGCTTACAACAATTAAAATACAATTAAAAGATAAAACAATTAAAATACAATTAAAATATATACAGTACTCTAAAATATAAAAATATATACAAAGCACCAAACATCTCTCATTTCTTATAGTTTTACCTTTGGAGTGCAAACAGAGAAACTGTTGTATTTACGAAGGCTTTCACGGCTGGGATCTAATGGTTGTTGTGGGGTTTTCGGGCTCTTTGGCCGTGTTCTGAAGGTTGTTCTTCCTAACGTTTCGCAAGTCTCTGTGGCTGGCATCTTCAGAGGACAGCACTCTGTCCTCTGAAGATGCTGGCCACAGAGACTGGCGAAACGTTAGGAAGAACAACCTTCAGACCATGGCCAAAGAGCCCGAAAAACCCACAACAACCAAGAGAAATTGTTGCTTGTTGGAACAAGCACTATCCCATCTCATGAGTTACTCCTCAGACCATTGTTCGTCTAACACATCTACTGTAGTTTTAATGTATTCTTTAACATACGCAGCACAGTTTTATTGCTTCGTCTCTTTTAGAAAATTTGTGGCACATGCTGTGTTCTGCAAACTTTTTAATGCTTCGGCAGTACTAGTTTTATGGCTGTACTTTACAGTATTAATGTTGCCACCAAAGAAGTCATATTTGCACAATAGAGCACAGTTGAATGTATTATAAATTTGGCTGTGGTAACTGAAGGACTTGATTGGCCAATAAGAATTCCATGCTGCTTCTGCACTCTGCACAATTCACAGGCCTTGTAAACCAGGGAGCAGTGAATTGTGCCGATTGCAGCCACAGCTCAGGACTCTTGACATTATACTTTAATTAACATAAATATTTTAAATTACAATTTTATAATCAGAATCATATTATAAGAAAGTTACATTATATTGTGCCTCAGCTGACATTAGAAAAAAATCAAATATATGAAGAGTTAATAGAATATAGTTCACACCTTTTTATATTTAGAAATGATATCCAAGAGATGTATAAGATATTCCTTTAATTTCCATACAGTTTTCATTAGCAGCTCATCCTACCATTGTTAGATTTTTCAACAATTCTTTCTAAGTGGACATTTAATGTTGCCATTGCCATCTGGTGTTCCTAGTAAGTGTCAGTGTCTTTGCATTAACCTTCTCACTGCCAAAGCAGTGGATATAGTGCAGATGGCAGACCTTTTCTTCTCAGCTGTATATTTATCACAGTCAGCTTAAGTTTCACCTCCCTTGAAAATACAAGCTTTAAGAGTTGATGTGAATTCATTTTTTATGTGTGTTGAATATCCTGTGCTGTATTTGTGTAATAGGATAATATCACCACATTGGTTTTGTGTGGAATGAAGCAGCAATTTGTAGTCCATTTCTAGTTTAACTTAGGACAGTAAAACAACCGGTCATGTTTTTACAATGCTCTTAGTATAATACTTTTTCTTTCATTTCAGGGCAATCACATTATAGAAGCTCAAACTAGACTATCTTTAGTCAGGACATTAAAATTAGCTGTGTTTGCAAACAGGGCTGAACAAAAAATAATCTCCATTTTTCAGGAACATTTTTGGCAATGTTGAAATAATACTCCTAACTTTCAATGTTTTTCCCTTAATGTATATTAAAATGTTTTATTTTTTACATAGTTTTTCCTCTCTCTCTTATTGTCTCTGTTTGCTATCACATGATACCATAACTAAATTTCACTGGACATGTAGTGTAGTGATGCCATCCTCATTCACAGTGTGACTCCTGATTGCTTGAGCCCATCTGTGTTCAGGAACCATTATCCTCACTCTCTGTTGATTTCTGTTAATATTGCTGACATAGTCATATAGCCAAATCCAATTGGCTAAGTAGCCAGCCAACTAATCAGTCAGACAAACAGTTATCATTTATGGAAAAAAAATCAGATCTACTTAAAAATGTAT